TTTTCTGATGAAGGGTCTAGGCCCGAAACGTCAGCCTCTCTGCTCCTATGATGCTGCTTGGCCTGCTGTGTTCATCCAGCCCTGCACCTTGTTGTCTCGGGTTTTCCTTACAATGCCTGTTACCCTCTCCAACATTGTGGTGGCAATTGGATGGTAGCTCAATAGCATTCATTTCCTTAAGATCCAGCCCTTCCATTTCTCTTGTCCCTACTACTGGTGTCAGTGTGAAGTTGGTCTAATAATGGTGCAAACACTATGTCCAGTTCCTACCTGCAGGAACGTTTTGCCCTTTTAATCCTCTAAAACATCTCTTTTGCACATTAACCTAGAAAACCAACTGTTTCATATGCTAACCTTTTAAACCTACCATTTCACACACTAATCTTTTGAACCTGTTGTTTAATGCATTAATCCTCTAACCCGCTGTTTCACTCATTAATCCTCAAACCCTGCTGCTTCACACATTAATCCACTAATCCTGCTATTTCACACATTATCCCTTTTAAACTTGCTGTTTCACCCCATAACTCTTTCAGGACAACAGACCACTCTTTAGTCTCTGAAAAGTATTCAAGTATTAGGATATTGAATTCTCTGAAATCAGTCTATACAATCCTTAATTAGAATATTATCACATTCATTTTGTGTCTTAGGGTTAGGCACTTTTCACATGTCTCAATTTTATCAACATGACTGCTAAATGCGAAATCACAAAACCACTGAAAATTGCCTTTCCAAGAAACAATAAGAGCACCCATGAATAGCCCAAACTGAAGACCGATACTAAGTCTAATCTCCACTATTTTCAGTTTCTTTTCCACATGGACCAGTTCACTGACATCATCTGCACCCTTGTTAAAGGCAAATACCTGAAAGCAAATGTAATACTATGTTTGTTTTACGTGAGATAACACACAGTGTGGAGCTGGAGGAATACAGCAGGACAAGCAGCATCAGAGGAGCAGAAAAGCTGACGTTTCAAGTCGGGTCGAGTCGAAATGTCAACTTTCCTGCTCCTCTGATGCTGCTTGGCCTGCTGTGTTCCTCCAGCTCCACACTGTGTTATCTCTGACTCCAAGATCAGCAGTTCTTACTAACTCTTTGTTTTACTTGAGTTCTGGTGAATTAGCCGCAGTGCTGAATCTGATAGCACAACCGAGCTGTTAATATCAGTATACAGCCATTAACCTACAGTGCCTCAGCAATTTTGTAATTTCAGTTCTAAAAATTAATTGAGTTTCTTTTCACCATCCAATCCAGTCACTCATAGAAATCAGCTTCATTATCAGCATTTATTCCTAAAATATTGAGAAGCCTGTAATAATGGAGCATAGAATCCATTCACAATTTTAAATGTGTGTGTACCTCTGTGTATTGTTGTTTGAGGCCATTGGTTAATCTGTCTTATAATATGAGCACATGATGCTTGGGGAATTTGTGATTATTCTGAGCTGAAAATTTATTGAAGCCACATATACATGTACACATCGGCATTCTGATACAGAAAACTGTTCAGCATTAAGAATGTGGTCCACACAATAAACTATGAGTTGTGTCTAATAACCCTATTTAGTATACTCACATACAATGTAAAATATCCACAATGTCGCTGTTAAATTTACTGAAACTATGTTAAAAGATAAAGCAAACAGGTTTGGAATGTTTCACTTACCTTAGATCCCCGCTCATTAAAAATTATTTCAACGTCTAAAATTTTTCCAAATTGCTGAAAGAGAAACAAGAGAGACAATTGTTAGAAATATTATACTTTGATTAACTGCGTACAGACTTCAGAAATAATCTGTTTCATAATGAAGCTGAAAGTCTTCTGCCTCCTTACAAAGATACAGATACTCGTGGTGCAGAACTTAGAACAGCTGGAAGGAATTTGAACATGAATGCATTTGCAATGGGAGTTTCCTCTCCCAAATTTAATTGCATCATACAGTATTCAGTTAATTCTTCTTAATACAGGGATTATCTGTGACACGTATCTAATTTTCTCACAGAAGATCCCATGCAATTCTGCCAGTTATAAATTTATCCCAAATAAAATGACATGACTATATGTTTCAATTTTCAGGTTAAAACCATTAAAGCAAAAACCACAAACAGACGTATCCTTCAGCTTTGACAATTTCTTTTGATTTTATTGGCCCTAATATTCTAATGGACATACAGTTGTTATTCCATTGGAGATGGGATTTACATATGGGAACCTTGTGAAATCCCCATTGTAGCAGACTCCATAGAAATTATCCGGGAAACTGAAACTGCCATTGGGCCATCCCACCAGACCTGGAACCCTCTAAAAGTCTCTATTTAAGTTAAAGAATTTGAGGTTTCTCATGAAGTTAGGTAAATGTTTACTCAAGAAAAGTTCGATGATCAAATACTTAGCCCAACTCCTGAGTAACTTTCCAACCAATACCATACTTAAACTCTGACACAATCAGCTAAACCTCCTCCAGACCACTTACATCCCCAGACCCTGGTCTGACACCACCATTACCTGACACCCCTTCTATTGCTTCAGACCTACTTTCACCCACTCTTGTGGTACTGGATCCAGGTCTTCAGGGCATGACTCCTGGCATTGATCTTCACAGTTATCTGCTCTCACTGCCTCTGGTGGATCACCTCGCCACATTTGGATACAGGATAACTCTCTTCCACCAAGGCCTCCAGAGCCTTGCCCAGGAAGCCTGTCATCTGTACTTTCCCATCTTGTGCCATTGTTCTGTCTTTGCTAGGCCAAATTCCGATCATAAAGACCTCCTGTTCCAGCCACAATGCACTTCTCCTCCACTAGATGCAGGCTAATCCGAAGCAGTAGAAGCTAATTTTAACTAGTGATCGTGTTTAACCATATCTGCTCTCTGGCTCATTCATCCAGTCAAACAATGGAATGGTTAGCACCACCGAAATACTGAAACAAAGTTAGTGTGCTGCCTGCATTTTGGGATGGGATTAATCGTGCCCTGTTTCACAAGGTCAATCTAATTTCACATCTGTTTTCTGTAAATAAGGGATATGTCCAAATCCAGCCTCTGTGGTCACTGGGCAATTCTGTACCCAGCATTCTCACTGCTGTGGTTGTTCCTACCAATGGTTAAAAAGTGACTCTGTTGTTCTGAAATGTCCCTACATATTACACTTCAGGGGAGAAAACTGCCAAATACATAATAATAATTTGTAGCCAAGATTTCCAGCATGGTGTCTTATCCAGGTATTCTCATTAAACAAACATTAACACGATTATATGTGAACATTTCCATGAATACTGATTGAAACCATAATCTATTTTGTTATACCCTTAGCATTTATACCTAATGACTGAATTTTTTTTAATCTGTACAATAATTTTCAGTGCATGTATTTTATCCACATTTTATAGCTTCCAAAGCTGTTCCTGTGTTTTTTAAATTTAATTTCCCATTATATTGCATTAAGTTTAAGCTAAGGTAAGAGCGTTTAATATTTCATCCTGAATAAATCTTTACTTGAAAGTACAGTTGAAACATTCCCACTTAAAATTTGTGATTCTTCATTACAGAATATTTGTTTAGTTTTCTAACTTCATTCATAATCAGATTCTCCATGCATGATTTTCTACAAATGATTAATTCTGATTTGAAAACAAATCAGAGAACAGAACAGAGCCATAAGACTGTATCTGTCATTTGTAATATTCTGATAGTGAACAGAATTCTCCTGTTTTCTATTGGGGTTTTCCCACACTGTTCAAATTGTTATTTAGGGATTCAGTGACCAATTCTGATAAGTGAATACAATTTTAGTAGGAAAATGGTTGCTTTCTAAACAGCCACAGCATCCAGTTCTACTTTAGTACTCAATTCTACTTGCTCTTTTTATCATTTCATTTGATAAGATATAAGATTACTCCAAAACAGCAAATAAAGATTCCTGTGGCTATGCTATGAAATTGCATGGTTGAAACCAGAATTGTTCAATTATTGATTTATCAGGGATAGACCGAGGCTAAAAATTGCTATGCAAAAATTGTGTTGCATTAATTTATCAGACATAAAACAGATGCCATTTTGTAGTGGATGATCGATGTCCAATTTACCCAAGCATTGACCCCACTGTTAAATTCAGTGGACCAGTTTTGCAGAAACCTCAAGCCTAATGCCTGCCAAAGGACCCTTTTCACAAATTGTTCATCAGGGGAGTGGGGGGCGTTTTGGACCTGCTCCATTCATGATACTCCAGTGGCTCCTCAGAGGGGTGTGAGACTTTGGGACTCTGCCTCAGAAGGTAGTGGAAGTGGGGCCATTGAAAACTTTCAAAGGGCAGATAGACAGATTCTCCTTAGGTAAGGGAATTAAAATTAATTGGGAGAAGGTGGGACAGTGGAATTTCAAACACAAACAGATCACCATGATCTTACTGAATGGTGCTCCAGGCTTGAGGAGCTGAACAGTCCACTTCTGCCCTAATTCAAATGTTCATATGTACTGCAGTCACCTATTGCAGAAAATCCTTTCACCATTCTCTCTCTCTCCTGCAAACTGCTATGTCCAACATCCAACGTTCACCCATCCCCATATCACACAACCTCTTGGATCGACTAGAAAGGCAGATGACTGCAACTCGGTTTCTTCCATTCGGAGAGATGCCAGTGAAGGAACGGTCAGTGCTTGGAGTTCAACCACAATATACAGATGAGGCTCAATCCTGACACTCAGGCTTCCATGGCACTAACACCGGGCACAAAAATAGTGGCAGACTTTGCTAGTGTCATTGCTGCAGAGAATCAACTGAGAAAATCCTACACAGTTACTGATATGGCATTGGATGCAATGCCAGGCTTTATAGATCCCAGTCGTGAACCAAAAAAGGTGCATTCAATTTTTTCAAAAATCATTCAGAACGCATTTTCATTGATTCACAAATATGTTCTAGCAGTTATTTACGTTGATAATTCCTCTTACAATTTTTTGCAAAGGCAAGTTCTAATATAAAAGAAATGGTAACAGGAGGGTTACTAGATGAAGAGGAACAATAGTGGACAAGATGTGTCCAAATGCACAAGATCTTTAATAAGATATTTAGATTTCTCTATCTGTTTATGGGTGTTGAGGTGGTTGCTGGTGTAATTAAGTATCTGGTCTGTATGGGTAGTCCTTCTGTATATGCTGGTCTGGAGTTCCCCGTTGTTCTTACGTCCCACCATTATGTCTAAGAAAGGTAATCGGTTATTGTACTCTTCTTCATTTGTGAATTTTATTCCAGTGAGGACGTTGTTTGTGGGTCAGTGGGTTTCTTCTAGTCTTGTGCATTTGGTAATCACAAACGTGTCGTCTACATAGCACACCCAGAGTTTGGGTTGTATAGTGGGGAGCGCTGTGCGTTCTAACCTGTGCATTACTGCTTCTGCAATCAGTCCTGATATTGGAGATCCCATTGGTGTTCCATTGAATTGTTTGAATATACGGCTATTGAAGGTGAAGTGTGTTGTGAGGCACAGATCCAGCAGTTTCAGGGTGATGTCCTTGTTGATGCTGTTGGTGTGTTGGAGTGTCTGCCTTCCTGATTTGTCCAGTAGTGTGGCAATTGTCTCTTTGGCTAGGTCGATATTTATAGATGTAAATAGTGCTGTTTATGGATGTAAATAGTGCTATTCTGTTGTCCTTGATGATGTTGAAGAATTCTTGGGAGGAGTGGATGGAGGTGCTATTGTTGTCTACTAAGTATTTCAGTTCCCGTTGTAGTTCTTTGGCTAGTCTATATGTTGGCGTACCTGGTAGTGAGACAATGGGTCTGAGGGGGACCCCTGGCTTGTGTACCTTTAGGGAGTCCATAGAAGCGGGGTGTGTTGGATCCCTCTGGCTTCATTTTTTGGTAGTCTGTCTTGTTGATATCTCCGGAGTTGTGTAATTTCTTCAGGGTTGTTGTGATCCAGTTCTGTAACTGTGGTGTTGGGTCTATCACCATCTGTTGGTAGGTGTCAGTATCTGCCAGTAGTGCGTTAGCTTTCTCGATGTATTGGGCTCTGTTAAGGATTACTGTCATGCGTCCTTTGTCCACTGGTAAGATTACGATATTTTTGTCTTTCATGAGTCTTTCCAGGGCTTTCTTCTCTTCTGTGTTAAATGTGTTCCACTTACCTTTTCTGCTAAATGTTGGGACTATCGTCTGTCTGAGGGTCTGTTGTATTTCCTCTATGAGTCCGTTGCACTTCAGTATCAATTCCAATACCCATGGACAAAGAAGGACATGAATTCGACTGGGACAACACATCCATAATAGCATGAGCCAAACAGAGACATGGCAGGGAATTCCTGGAGGCCTGGCATTCCAACCGGAATTCCATCAACAAACACATTAAACTGGACCCAATATACAAACCATTGAAAAACAGAACCAGAAGTGATGCCAACCACCCCAGCAAACCGAGGTAAATAAATAACAAGCGGGACAGGACACCAACGCTTCACCGGAGGCGCACTGATGATGTTACTTAGCAGGGTGACAAAATGCTGCAATCAAACATACCAGCTCGGTGAGCAAGTCTGCAACATCAAGTTATCATCATCTTTGAGCAATGCAGAGGAAATAGACCTTTGCAAACATAAAATGCATTGATCCAATTTGAAGGACTAGGATTTAGCAGATGAGATTTCTTTTGCTGAAATGTATTTGTCTTTGTTCTTTGCAATATCAATAACTTCCCTCTCTTGCCTTTTAGTGTTGTTTTTG